CCGAAATGGAACTGTCCTTAAGATAAGGTGATTTTTATTTTCAAATGTCAAAATAGGAGAATCATCCAAGAATTTAACCGCTAGTCTTTCAATAACTTTGTGCTAAATATGCAGGGAGGAGTTCTCCAACTTCATCGACCTGCACATACTCCAGCCGCCCAGACTCGCGGAGTTCCTGTGGCATTTCTGACGTGCGGTCTTCCGAAATCGAGCTTTCACTGGAAGAAGGTGATTTTTTTTTTTAAATAGGAGAATCAACTAGGAATTTAACCGCTATGCCTTCAATAACTTGATGTTAAATCTGCAGGGAGGAGTTCTCCAACTTCTTCATCGACCTGGACATACTCCAACTGCCCAGACTCGCGGAGTTCCTGTGGCAGTTCTGACTCCCAGTCTTCCGAAATCGGGCTGTCGCTGAAAGGTGATTTTTTTTTATTTTGAGATGTTAAAAAAGTAGAATAAATCAGAAATTCAACCACTAATGAACTTTTTTCACATTACCTTTGCAGAGGGATGTTCGTCAGCTTGATGGGACCACACATATTCCTGTCTCCCACTAGAGAACAGTCCACTGGAGGCGCATAGTAAGTGATGGGAGAGCAGGGCGTTTCTGCGCGCCTTGTTGCACTGACTTTTTATACTTATTGCTCTTACTACAGTTATTGTAACAGCACTTTCAATTTTTCTACTTATTTTGAAGTTGATCAAAGCTACACCCTTCCTCAAAATGCTGTTCCTGCTCACGAGTCCAGCGGAGACATCGCTGACATGGCGCCGTCGATTTATGGACCGTCACCTGAGGACTCTGTCTCTCTCTAGCAGTGCTGGTGTACTTTCTCACACAGGTAAGTGCTCTTTCGTGATGAAAAAAATTTACCTCTTGCGCGTTTTTCGTTTTGTTTTGTTAAAGTGTACAAATTAGCAGTCTTAGGTAGTAACGCGTTACTAGTAACGCGTTACTGTAACTTTGTTACTTTTTTGGTAACTTGTAACTGTAACGAGTTACTTTTTACAAATGTAACTTGTAACTACAGTTCTATTACTTTTTCTGAGGTAACGATGAAAGTAACGAAGTTACTTTTGTCGTTACTTTTCAGTTTTTTTATGCATAATATATCATTGAACGAGTACAATCTAGCTATTCCTTACACCTTCCAAATTGTCTGTTCCGACATTTCGAGTGTCCAGTTGGCCTTGCACAAACGTTTGAATACGTTCTTTCTCGCGAGACACGACCCGAATATAGCCACATATAGATTTGATGAAGAAAAACAAAATCGAATTATCTTTACGTACTCGCTTCTTATTTGTGCTGCGGTTTTTCTTTTTTTTTTTTTTGCGCAGACGCTTTTTGATCGGGTGAATCAACCATGAAACAACCATACACGCGGAGGGCACTGCGCATGTTTTTGTATTTTCATTTGCGCCACTACTCCGGCGTGGTGTCAACAGTCAAGACAAAATTTACAGATGTTTGCGCGGGGTTTGTTTCTGGCTTGCCGGGTACGAGCTGAAATATGTCCAGGGACTCTATGAACCCAGCGCAACCGTCAACGACCCAGCAATGTGCTTGTGCTACCAAGAATAGGGATGTTGATGAGAACAAAAAAGGGCATGCGTTTTAATTTCATGCAGTAAAACTTTGTGAAAGACGTTTTCTAGTTTTTCCTAAATTTCTATGTGTTAAAGAAAAGTAACTGAAAAGTAACGTCGTTACTTTTTAAAAATATCTTTAACTGTAACGAGTTACTTTTTTGTTGCGGTAACTGTAACGGTAACTTCACTACTTTTTTTCTGAAAGTAACTGTAACTGTAACAAATTACTTTTTAAAAGTAACTTACCCAAGACTGCAAATTAGTCACCGAACATGAACAACCAAGGCTAGTTATAGGTATCAGGTGACTTAAAGATACTAAAATTTATTCTGAGAGTTGGCGGTACATATAGCACTATGTCACATAACACAAGGCCGGATGGCTGCCAGCTACAAACTGGAGTCAGTTGAAACTCCATCATTTATTTGTGCTTCACATTATTATATTTAAAGCAATGTATACAAAGGGTTCATAAAGTTTCACAGACGAACCACCAAAACAGCTGGATGGGTTTCACTGAATAGTAACGCAATAATCTTTTCGCAAAGCCTCATGTAAGGCAGCATTTTTTATAGCTAGCTAGAAACTGCCTGGGCCATACGTGCATGATGATCACCTTATTTAAACTTGAATTGCATGTATGTAGTACGTTATCAAACTTTTTACTGTACATGGTTTAAAAAGATTTTGCAACTTGACAAGGAATGCAAGTTCTTATTGGCCTCCATTTACATATATATGAACATTCTTAGAGTTTACTGATCTGGGTGATTTGTTACCTTGCAGCATCAAGCAAGGCAGGCTGCATTGACAAGAGAAAGGACACTGAGGGCCAAGGTACGACAGGTCTGAGAGCAAAACAAGAGGCTCCAAAGAAGGCTGCAACGACAGCGTCAGATAACGACTGTTGCTGAAGTTGTTGAGAGTGTCCGCAGTCACGTTTTTCCAGCCGTCGCTGCACTCGTTGAGGCCCAGCTTAGGGTAAGGGTTGTGTGCCGGTTTGGTCGACGATGGTGCAGCCAGAACATGGCTTTGGGCCTCTCCTTTCATAGCCTAAAAGGCTATGAGTATTGTAGGCGACTGCTTAGGTTACTATCAGTCCGATCACTGCAGCTGTGGCTTCAGCGTGTTCCACAGAGAGTTGGATTTTACCCCGAAATTTTTGAGCTGGTAAAGAAGCGAGCGACTTCTTTTAGACGAGCGGATCGAGCCTGCAGCATAGTGTTTGATGAGATGCACATTAAAAAAGAGCTCTCATACAACCCCTCATCTGACAGGTTCGAAGGACTTGAAGGGCATAGTAGTGGTGTGCAAGGTGCGAACCTATCAAACAAAGCTCTCGTGTTTATGGCAAAAGGAATTTGAACATCATGGAAGCAGCCACTTGGCTACTTTTCCGCTCATACAAGTACCCCTACCAATGTCCTACAGGATCTTCTTTTCCAGTGCTACAGCCTCCTTGTAGATGCTGGCCTGGAGCCAGTAGCTGTGGTATGTGATCAGGGGAGCCAGAACGTCTCTCTTTTTTCAAGCCTTATAACCAGCGAGAAGCTTACATAGATGTCAATGGCAAACCTCTTTTTTTCCTTTTTGATGCTCCGCACCTGCTGAAGTGCCTCGGAAACATGCTATTTAAATATGACTTCAAGGTTTGCGATCAAGTAGTAAAAGGCTCGTACATAAAGGAAGCCTATGAAACGGACCGGAAGCTTGAGATCCGTTCTATGCCCAAGCTGAACGCAAAGCATTTTAATTTGACGTTCTGCTCAAAGATGTCGGTGAAACTAGCGGCCCAAGTATTTAGCAACTATTGTGCTACTGCAATGTATGCCTTCGTAGCGTTCCAGCAATAGCCTGCTGCAGCTATTCACACAGCAAGATTCGTTGAAAGAATCGACCGTCTCTTTGACAGCCTAAATAGCTCCCACAAATTTGCCAAAACGCCCTTTTTCTCTGCGATGCATAATGGCTCTGTCCATGAAGAGTTTTTCAAAGAGTGCATTGAAGTTCTTGAAACCCTGCAAGTCCTCGGATGTAGAAGGCAGCCAAGCTGCATTCGTGGCTTTTGCTTGACAATGAGGTCTCTGATGATGCTCTGCAATCACCTCACAGTTAATTTTGGTTTTACCTGCATTTTAACCCCTCACTTGAACCAGGATACGCTTGAAAACACCTTTGTTATTATACGTTCGAAAAGTGGAGCAAACGCAAACTCTACTTCTCGTCAGTTTCAGGCAGCGTTCAGACATTTTTTGGTAAGGAACTTATTCAAGCTGACTGAAAAATCAAACTGTGTTGAGGACATGATTCCTCTCTTCCGGTAGGCCTATCGGCACCCTCTGCTTCTCTATTCTTGGGAAGCTCAGTTTTCCTCAGCGCAGCAGACAATTCACCCTTAAACTACCCTTCGGCCACGGTAGCGAACAACATGGTTTATTTTGCTGGGTGGCTTGCGACAAGATTTTTGAAGGGTCATTCCTGTGTCTTTACATCTCAGAGATGTGAGCTGAAGAGAGAAAATGCATGTTTTCTTGAAGGAAACCAAGTGCTACTGTACTTGAGTGTAAAAGGCACTGCTGACTCGGACTTTGGAAACCTGACAGTTCCATCCCCTTCTTTCACATCATTCGTTGAGGCATGTAAGCGTGTTTTCGAGGCGAGGATCAACAACCTCATTTCAAAGGAGGGCATAGGGCGTACTCTGTGTATTTTCCATCAGGAGGTCCAAAAGTCTCTTGTTGTGTGTAACCACGATGTGTATGACGATTTTTTTGTCTGTTTGCAAGAGTCAGGCTATACTGGTTTGCAAAAAAAAAAACACAAAAAAACACTGAACTTGTTGATGCATCAGCAAGGTGTAAAGCTAAGCAGCACGTGGAAAGGCAAAGCTCGTGAGACTTCACGGCATACATTTTCAAAGTAGTATATGTGCTTTTCTAGCCTTTCGTATGGTATAAAATACTATTTTCCTGGGCTCGACATTTTCCAACGTGTCTCCAAAAAATCTGGCGGGCGCAAAATTTCGCGATCTAGAACGATAATTAATGCTTTCATATCCATGAACTGAGTCATCTTTCGCGATGTTTATCAAATTGTGAAATTATCAAAAATTAGGTCATCGCGAAAGTTAAGGTGCTTACAGTGCTTTGGGTTACCGACTGCTCATGTGGTTTTGTCACTGAACCAAACCTGTGGTTTTAAGGTCCGACGAAACACTGGCCTGCAGCGTACTGAAGGGCACCGAAATAATTTACGCGCACAAGGAAGGTTACGGAGTAGGCAGCATCACGATACTCAAGATAAAAAGTTTTCTGGATTATGGTACATTGCCCAAGAGCGGCAAAATCAGCTGTTATTTTTGTTGATCACAACTTTTTTTGAAACACTGAAATTTTTTTATATTGATGACTCTCTATAAACTGACAATGCTCACACAGCAGGCAACCGATCGTACAGTGAGTTACGTGTTATTCTGTCATAATGTGCCTTGTGTATTGATCTAGTTTTCTTCCACCTTAAAACTATATACTGATTGTATGCTTTTGATGAGCGTTCTGCTTGAGTGATTGTAAGCAGTTTTAAGTGAATAAAATGTTAGTGCAACATTGGACTTGCATAAGAGTTACTGTTGTGTATCTTTAACGCTAACACACTCGAGCAACGTTATTGTTATTCACCTTGTTTGTGAGGTCAATCACCTTAAAGCCACTCCCAAATTTCTGAAAAGCTGATGAAAAAAGTAAAAGTAGTTCTGTGGGATGAAAAAAAATTATTTTGGTAGCGAGCTGCCTAAAAAAGGCGGCCGCAAACAAAAATTAAACGATTTTCGCGCAGAATTAAGAGTTCAAACGGGGTGATGTAAATTCAACATAAAAAGAAAAACTGAGACTGCAGGCAAGAAGGACAACACACTAAAAAAAGTCAGACATAGCTTGGCACAGCTTTGTTTGAAATTTTTTAGCACTAGAAAGCTTTATTTGAGACTTTTTAGAAATCGGATTTGCAGGCAAAAAGGACGACCGTCCTTTTTGCCTGCAGTCTCGGTTTCTTGTTATATTTAAGTTTCGCGCCAAACAACACATTAAAATGACGTCACGTTTTTTTCCGGAAGTGACGTCACTTTCTCTTTATTTCTCTTCCGCCGGAAATGCTATCACGACACATAGATGGCGCTAGCGAAGCCCCATGAGCCGCCATTTTTTCGACACGTGGACTTCTATGGAAGCTTTGTTACCATATGTACATATACGTTGTCTTCACTGTCTTTACCTTTTCACTTCGCGCACTCCTCCGGAGCAGGCTCCTAGGTCGTTCCTCCGAAGTCAACACGACTGTCATAGTTGGTAAAAAACAGTCCGTACCAGTCGTCTGCAAAGCGACGTCGATGGAAACAAATCGCCGTGGCGTTTTTCGCGGCCTTCGGAGATGCAGGAGTGAGCCGATGTTAAAGAAAAAAAAAAGACGTTTCAATTACGAAATTAACGAGTGTGTCAGCAAAAGCCACGTAAATACCTGTGCGCACTTGAAGCGGACGCGCGCGTTTGATCAAAGTTCTTCGGGACCGTTTTTTCTGCGATTACCACTCGATACTGACGTGACACTCGGCAAAGAAAGGTGGAACCGGCGTTGCGTAGCTCCTACGAACTGTTATAGCTTGGCAGTGGCGTACAGTCGTCAGAATAAAAATGCATACTAATAAAAAAGTGTACGTGTACATACCGCGTTGCGAAGGTAACCCATACGACGTTTATTTGAGCTTCTTATCACACAAAACGAGGAGATAGAATCGATGAGAGTCTCTTTTCGACGACAACGTTCGTCACCGCTGCCTCGGAAAACAAGGAGATGACAAGGGGAAGAGAATTGACCTCTTAATCTAAAATTGAGGTCAGCGATCAAACTATAATACGGGAAGGGTCCACAAGGGTCACGCGGGCGCGTATTTCATTCAGCAAGCCAGCCGGTAGTGGGCAGACGGTCTTGGCCAAGGACCGTCGAACAGCGCAGGCGCTGGTCGGAGCAACGCTGCGCAGAGTCTGAGTGCCTGCTAGGCCTAAATTCTGTCGAGCTCGCTCAGTCGGTGTCATCGTTGCCGTTGTAGCTTTTCTCGGGTGTTTGTGGATCCAGCGTTCGTGTTCGTCGTGGTCGGTTTCGAGTACTTCCTTCCTTTTTCTTGCTGCTTGAAATCGCGAAGAGCAAATAGAAAAATAAATGTCCGTTGGTCGTCGCTACCAAGTAACAGTGACGTTGTGGGTCATGTTGATTTGATCGTGGAAAGACGGCTCCGGAGCTGTTGTCGCACGTACATTTTAGCGTAAAGTAAAAATACATATATATATATTTATATATATAAACGACTATATTTTTGCTTGTTTGTACGTTTCTGGCAGGGGCGTCACGGACGTTACTGCCCCGTAGCAACCTCCGAAAAAGGCGTACCGGGACCCACTGATCTATTCGCAACTCCAGCGCGCCGCTCGCCCTCCCGCGGACGAGCGGAGAACTAGAGGAACGGGGACGGCAGCGGCGGCGGCGGCGCGGAAATGGTGGCAGGGGCTGTCGGCCTTAATGTGTGAAGTCGTTGTAACGAAAAAAGTGAGCGCGTTAAGATTGGGATTCTGGTGCTCCACCTCGCCATGCGTTGACGAAGGACCGGGATGTCTAATTTCATTAGGGACTTTTCATATATCGCATACGCTGTGGATTGCTGGTCTTGTGCATGACCGCCAGCTCGACCTGTGCTCAACGTGACAACAAGCGCTCCCGCTAATAATGTAGAGCTCTAGCGTTTGGTCTATGAAAAGTTTATTATTTGCCCTAAGTAGGAGAAAACTGGTCGTGCAAGGATATGTCGAGCAATACACGTCGGGAATGGGTTTGCGTTTTAGGGCCGTAGGAGCATGACCATTTACTCCAAGCACTTTTAAAAAATATAATACGCGTACTTGCTTTCAGGCAATTATAAAATCAATAAATGAATGCCCGAAGCATTTTAAGCACGTCTGCGTTAGTCAGCCGTTCATGACGAGAGCTTAGAACGGGCAGTTTTGGCGAGAGAGGACACAACTTTGCAAATAACACGGTACAAAAAAGAAAAGAAAGTACGGTATATTAAAAATGCATCTCTGGTAGAACAATAAATCAAACTCCTAAACATGCCGATTATGGTAATAGGCAGTTTTAACATAGCGTTACCGCAGGACCGCAGGCTACCGTTGGCTACTATGAGCACGGCAACGCTCCTGGCACGCGCTGAGAATTGTGCTTCAAAGGCGCAGCGCAAACCTCTGGTTGTAATGCTACACCGCACAGTAGCCTGCGGTAACAAACTTCCCATCAATAACCATAGATCAGTTTGATCACGTGTTGCAATACACGAAAACTGAGACGGTGAGCATCGAGTTGCGAGCCTGTGACACGAAGGCGTCAATACTGTAAACGCTGCTCTTCTGAAGCTTGACGGTCACCGTGCGCTGCTCACATTTTAGAGCTCTAATGGCCAGGCAAAGTGCCAACACGATATCTTCATCACCCTCAAAAATATTCTGCCACAAACAGTGACGTGGCCGGTGCGTAAAACGCGCTCGCCCACCACAAAGCTTCGCAAGTCGAGGTTTCTGCAACTTTTAAATATCAGCATGCTCATTTAGCTAACGGGCATCAATATCTCCGTCACCTGTAATATGATCCTGCCCTAACCACTTCGCGTTTGCAGACAAATAAATTATTTTTTAACGCACTGACCAGCGTCAGCAAAGAGGCGCACGGGAAACCCTGGAGAATTTATCCCCGTCTCTTCCGCCATCTTGGAACTGGACTTGCGAATATGACAATTGCTGGATCGCGCTTCCCCGCTTGTTCGCTGCAGTGCGAGTGAATCCACCGGACGGCCATCTTGCTTGCAGACGATTTGCCGTTGTGCTAGCGTTGCAGAAGCTGGCGGCAGCGTGCTATAAACACATTTTCTGCTCGTTTGTCGCCATTTGCCAAAGAAGCTTTTTAAGACCCTGTGAAACCGTTGAGACCTGACGTTGTAAACTCCTGAAAAAAATTTTACGGAAGTTCAGTGCCGTAGGAAAAAGGCACAACTTGTCGAAAGGAAGTTTCGCCGGTCTCGCGACGGGATCAAAGCTTCCTTGGAACGCCAAAGTGCTGCGTCTCCGTGCCTTCGCACTCTTGGATGCCGATCAAGATTCGTTTCGGCGACATGTGGATGTGTTTTGCGAGTGCAATGCGCGTGAAGCTGTATGTACCTCAAGGCAGCGTTCTACTTGTACTCTGACTATTGTATTTGTATTTTTGTAACTTGCAGCACTCACGGTCCAGAAACGAGCTTGATCGAGTGTTCAGTGGTGACAAAAGAAGGGTAGAGGGGAGGGGAAAGGGGCGGCATCAGCTGCGCTTTTGTGTTTTGTTTTGTTTGCTAGACGTTTATGGTAATCAAATAAGTAGTACAAAATCTTTATTTATGTTGTGTCTATTTACTGCTGCACTGCGCTTTTGTAAGAAATTCCGCTTTCTCAACGGCAAGTCTCAATCCTTATACGGGATTTTAAAACTCTTCTTGGACGAATGACGACGAACGAGTAAAAAACGAGTCTTCGTCACGCTGCCGCCAGCCTCTGTAACGCTAGCATAATCGCAAATCGTCTACGAGCAAGGTGGCCGTAGACGCGTGGCTTCACTCGCTTCCGCGAGTGGCTTCACTCACGGGAGCGGGAAGCGCGATCCAGCAATTGTCATTGAGATCAGTTTCAAGACATACGCGGAATCACGGAGAGCGCCATTTTCGACGTTATGGAAATCGCAGAAACTGCGTCTAAGACAGGCAGGTTTTGCTGCCGACTGCCTGGGTACCTTCTGTGCTGAGTTCGGTTCTGTTTCCGATGCCGAGTGCCAACCGGCATCGGAAACAGAACCGAACTATAGTGAAAAAAGCCCGATGACTCGCGCTTTTTATGCAGCAAGCTTGATTGGCCCCATTAGCTCGTAGCATCGGCTGAGCCGGGATTTAAGCAGAAACGAAGTATAGGAGCATTCATGTTTCCACATAAAATGTTCCTTGTCATCCGCCTTTGTTGGCGGCCGCTATTTGAACAGGGGGTGAACATTGTCACAGAATTGCGTTATTTGTGTGTCTATGCATGTGTATAGGGGGGGGGGGGGACCTTGAATTTGTACAATCTACTAATTTAAAACTTTACACCCACGTATTTAGCCGAAAGCTAGGAATTTGGGGCATCTGCACTGAAGGAAACTATATTTGGCGCAATGGCGCTTGAATCGACAGAGTAATTTTAGAGTAGATATTGTCTTCTCGACGTAGGACAGATGCTGGCGGCCTCCTCGCACCTTGAAGTCCATGCCTCCCGTATTTCCAAATGGATGGATACCCGTGCTGGAATCCCATCAACTGTGTACTGGTCAAGTCAAGAGCCTGGATGTTCTCGGTATTTATTTATATCAACTGATTCCTTCCCCGCGAATGTTTATATCTATTTACTCACGGTCGTGCTGTCTTCTGCGTTCCATACCACTCGAAACCTCCTCGGTGTTAGAAAAAAAAACAAAAAAAACAGACATGTACGTAGTTCAACTGCTCTACTTAAGTTATTGTAGTTCAACTACTTTTCTGAGTAGTTTAGTAACTTTCAATAACATTGTTATTTCGGTAATCAGTAGTTTACTTTAATTGCGTTTTTTGAGTAACTTCTAGGTAGATTACAAATTACTTTCCAATTTTAGTGGCAGGTTTGCCTATCAAGAGACATTTCTGCACAAAAAGACTTAAGATCTTGGAAGATGAGCTGATATTTGAAAAGAGGGGGAAGCATGTGGGCGGAGGGGGGGGGGGGGGATAGCTTGGAGGGCCCGAAACCTCCGAAAATTCTCACAAGCCCGCCCCCTCCCTCCCCCCCCCCCCCCCCTCCAACAATCCTGCTGCGTGGCGCGAGGAGCCGACAGACATGTCGCAAGTGAGGCCGAGTAACTGTGGGATTAACGCCGAAAGCTGGTGTTTCTTTGTGACCCGAAGCTGAATGAGACTTGACGCATCCGAAGAAAGGGCTTGTCTCCGCTTCTCAACAAAGTAGGAACTCTCGCTCACTACAGGAAGTGCAGATATGCATCCTCACTCAGAAGAGGCAACAAAATGCAGGTACCGCTCTGAAGCTCACCTGGTGCTTCTGTAGTTTGTGTTGTACTTTTAGAATCACGTGCTAAAGGTAGACGTAAAGGTAACCTCTTTGCGTTGCCTTTCCTCCCAAAACTCAAACGATCCTTCGAGAAATCTTAATAATTCTCACGCCCTTTTTTAAACAAACACAAATAAATAAACATGTAATGTTGCAAAGTACTACTTCAAGTAGTTTTAGAAAACTTGTACTTTACTTGAAGTATATATATTCTCTGAGCATGTACTTGTACTTTACTAAAGTATTTTTTTCTGGTACTCTTGGGGGACCGTTCAACTCTCGACTTAGGAGTACATTCCCCAAATTTAAGAAGAAGAAATAGCGTGTCATCATGTAAAAACGCGGTACCGTCTTTCGAGGCGTCATCTGCTAATTTTGCTGAGTGAAATAATGGCGGCGGCTGCAAGACAGATAGAAGTGCCTTATAAGTTGATTTTGTTAAATAGTTCGTCAGCGAGAGTAAAACAACCAATCTGTGGCGACCTGACTCATCTAATATTTGCCACCATTTCCCTCAAAAAACGGATTCACCTCCGATTACCCCAGGAGCAATGGATACCACTTAAAAACAAAACAAAAAACCTGTAGAGAAGATGAAAGGGAATCATGACAAATTGTGTTAGAATCAGTGTGTCGAACCGAAAAAAATACGGGTTCGGTTACGGTTCAGGTTCAGGTAAATTTATTTGGTTCCGGTTCAGTTCCGGTTCGACTAATTCAATCCGCGAACCGGTTCGCGAACCGGTTCGGAAATTATAAATGACAAATTGCAACATCAAAATAATTTACAAATAAAACATCTGAAATCAGCACATACGAAACGGGATACATCGTAGTGTAAGGCTCAGGGATTTCGACCAGGAACGGTTCCTTTATATGCACTCAAATGTTACCTCACCGACGTTTACGCATTCGGACTTCATCCAATTGGGTCTGATGCAGTAGCTGTAAAATCCGCGACCTCCTTACAAACCCACTTACAAGTAGAACTCGCTAACTATCCCGCCACCTCGGCGTGTAAGCAATTGAAGGAACAGTGGGGAGAAAATACAGTTTTCTTTATTTGAACTAGCCTTCGGTAACTCAAATTAGACCCTTTAAGAAGTTTTCATTAAACAAGATACGGAATATGAAAAACACTTCACCGAACGCAACGCCAGAAGGACGTAATAGGATAAATATTAAAATAGAAGAGTTCGCTGTCTCACAAATATGTTAGCTTCTAAGTGCCTATACGAAACCGGATGCATTATTATCAAACTCCACAGCCTTTTCTTTTCTCATTTCGATGGTAGCAAGCTTCAAGAACTCGCGCGTTCTAGAAACGTGTTATGAAGTGAGCGCACAGCAGCATTTAGGATTTACGAAATTGTAGGAAAATGAAATCCTGTGACGCGATTTTTTGTTTTTTTGCACAGCCTTCCAATTCTCTTTTTTCCGTGCAAGCCGCGACCAGCGCAATACTCGTTCCTATGTCAAGATTCATGGATGCAGCGTTTGTCAAGATTCATGGATGCAGCGTTTATATTCCTAAGACTGAGTGGAGAAGAAAAATATGTAAGCGAGGTGTGTGTCAGTTGACGGCACTTAAAAAACAAATGGCATTGATAGCATATTCATTGTCAACAGCGCGTGGCCGAACCGTTTTGACATGAGCCGGTAACCGTTATTTTTTTTCCGGTTCAGTTCCGGTTCGGGTTCATCGCGATAACAATATAACGGTTCGGGTTCGGGTTCAGTTCCGGAAAAAATACCGGTTCGGTTCCGGTCTTCGGTTCGGTTCGGTTCCGGTTCGACACCCTGGTTAGAATGTAGTTTTAGTTTACACTGAAAGCACATTTTATTTATAAAACTTTACTTCAAGGACATTGAATTAAGTGTACTTACTACTTTGCTTTACTTTGTACTTAACATCAACTACTTGTTAGATGTACTTATCACTACCCCTCGTCTAGTTCACTGCCACCCAAGTCAGGACCAGGGACGTCATAAAGGAGGTTATTATTATTTTTTTTGTAATCTTAATTTTCCTATAACTTTTAAAATAAAGCGAAATTCGAGAAAAGAAATTGCTCGCTAAGTTACTACGTTCAGTGCGCTCAAGTTCGGTGCCAATTCAAAAACCAGCGAATTCAGCCTTTCCACTCTGGTGAAGAAGGAAGACCAGCGACGCTGTACTATGGTGGCTTCTGTTCCCGGCGGCGTTCCAGGCGAGGCATCTGCTCTTTCGCAAGGGATTCGTAACCACTCGACGCAGTGGAAATCGAGGCGATAGCGGCTTCGCGGCATTTGCGCAGCTATTCGCGCTGGTGCGCACGTCGCCGCTCCTTCCGCTCCCGCTCTTCCTCCGAACGAACAGCACGCGGCCGACCCATTGTGAGTGCAAAGGACAACTGATACGTGGACGCTGGGGAAGAAGGGTTGGGCAGGAGACGCCAAGGAACAGAATGGGCGACTGTCCTCGCGAGTGAGGGTCATGGTAAACTGGCTCGAGTGCTCATAGATGGCGGTAGCTGTCTGGAGTTTTGTGTCGACACGCCGCTTGTCCGCGGACACAATAGTGGGAGAACTAGCCGTTAACAGCTTCGCTGTAGAAGTCGTTGCAGGGCACCTTTAACTGATTTTCTACGCGACTCACTGTAAACGACGAGAATTGGCATGAACACCCCACTACACAGACGAATAAATGCATATAAGTACATAGAAATAACTACGAATACGAATAAATACATACGAATCAATAGGTAATAGATACAGTAGGCGTCCGTTGTTTTATAAGGACGGCAGAGGAGTAGATGGAGACCGGTGAGGCAGCGTGGTAGTGGCGCTTCTTGAGCATGTGAAGAGCACAGCATTTTCACGCCGCCCCACAACCACAAGTTTGCGACACAATTTGAAGAACAAAGAAGCGGAGCTGATAAACCCTTCTCCGGTCTCGACAGGAACTTCGTCTAGATGCTCGGCTCGACCAAGCGCGGAAATGTTAAACAGTCGTCAACGGAAGAACAGGATAATTCTCACATTATCATGCCGAAAGTACACCGCGCACAAACACGAATACCGACATAAATTTGCGACGAGAAAGACGTGACCCGGCGCGGACAAATTACCGCGTAAAGCCGACAGCAGTGCACACGGCCAACTCCATGCTCGGCGACACCGGGGAATCGGTGGCCGAGTGATCAAACAGACCCCTTAATTGTTTCATCTTTCACAGGAGGAAGATGTCTAAACCAGTGGCTCGATGGCGTGCTCGAGGAACACGCAGTGTACTCCCGATCGCGCATTTTGAGGTTCTTTAGAGAAATAGCAGCGACTAAGGAGTTTTTTGAAGCCCACTTTTTCCAGGAGTATCTAAAGAAAGCTAAAAAAAAAAAAAAAAAAAAACTGCACTGGGATACACTTGACTTAACGCCGCCTCCAATGTGTCGTGTTTTTGCTAGGAGTGCCGTTGGCTCTGATGTATTTCAGCGTTTGGAGAAGATATGTGGTTAGAAGGGCGATCAAAAATGTTTTTGTTCCCTTTCACCTTGAAGTGCTCCCTGTTATGCCATGTCGCTTTAACACGGGGTTTTACGAGCCATGGTGGACAAACGGTGTGCTATGTCTGACACCCTGAAACGCGACAGCACGTTTTTTTTTTATAATGCACAAATGCTGAACCTCTCTGGAAAAGTGCGAAGTTTTGAAGATTGGGAAGCATTCTGACAGCAGATCATGGGAGGTGTTGGTCCTTCTCGGCCTTTATGCTATATGGCGATCCAGGACCGAGCACGTCGAAGTGTTTGAAGGATCGAAACCTGCATGGTAGCACTTTGTTGACGGGTTCATCTTCGTGAGCTCGCTTATCGAGGCGACGGAGCAGCAAGGGTTGGAATATTGGGCAACTCTGGGAACGCGGTTGCAAAGGCTGCATTCCGGCGAAGGTGAATTATCAGGTCACGGTAAAATTGGGCTTTTTTCAGAGCAGAAATTCTGAGAGCCTCGCTAACCAGTCGCAGCTGGGCCTCATTAGTGAAACCGGTTGTGTTGTGTTTGTTGGTCCTACGCTTTCCTGGGCAGTGTTTAAAAACTTCATGTTCTATAAAACCAATATTTTTTTTAACCCTCGTTCATAAAAATAATTCTAAATAAAAAAAAAATTGCTGTAAAACAAAGGAAAAAAAAAAAAAAAAGATTGGTGGCGGAGTGAGCCAGTGGACACCAGCTCGGGGCACGTGGAGCGAAAGCTCGCACTCCAGAACCCAGGATCCTGG